GTTTCATTAGGTTTAGTTAGAAGAGAAGTTGCAGAGATTGGTGGATGAATTTGGTAGGGTGTGCAAAAGAAGAAAATTGAAAGTGAATACAGGAAAGAGTATAGGTTATGAGGATAACAAAAAGATTAGGTGATGAAAGATTGGATATCAGATTGGAGGGAGAGAGTATAGAGGAGGTGAATGTATTCAGATATTTGGGAGTGGACATGTCAGCGGATGGGTCTATGAAAGATGAGGTGAATCATAGAATTGATGAGGGGAAAAGGGTGAGTGGTGCACTTAGGAGTCTGTGGAGACAAAGAACTTTGTCCTTGGAGGCAAAGAGGGGAATGTATGAGAGTATAGTTTTTACCAACGCTCTTATATGGGTGTGAAGCATGGGTGATGAATGTTGCAGCGAGGAGAAGGCTGGAGGCAGTGGAGATGTCATGTCTGAGAGCAATGTGTGGTGTGAATATAACGCAGAGAATTCGTAGTTTGGAAGTTAGGAGGAGGTGCGGGATTACCAAAACTGTTGTCCAGAGGGCTGAGGAAGGGTTGTTGAGGTGGTTCGGACATGTGGAAGAAATGGAGAGAAACAGAATAACTTCAAGAGTGTATCAGTCTGTAGTGGAAGGAAGGCGGGGTAGGGGTCGGCCTAGGAAAGGTTGGAGGGAGGGGGTAAAGGAAATTTTGTGTGCGAGGGGCTTGGACTTTCAGCAGGCATGCGTGAGTGTGTTTGATAGGAGTGAATGGAGACAAATGGTTTTTAATACTTGACGTGCTGTTGGAGTGTGAGCAAAGTAACATTTATGAAGGGGTTCAGGGAAACCGGCAGGCTGGACTTGAGTCCTGGAGATGGGAAGTACAGTGCCTGCACTCTGAAGGAGGGATGTTAATGTTGCAGTTTAAAAACTGTAGTGTAAAGCACCCTTCTGGCAAGACAGTGATGGAGTGAATGATGGTGAAAGTTTTTCTTTTTCGGGCCACCCTGCCTTGGTGGGAATCGGCCAGTGTGATAAAAAAAAAAAAAAAAAAATCAGCTGCTTTGTGGTCCGAACTGGCAGCCTCACCATGCCTTATCACACTATGTATGCCACTACGCTTCTTAAATCTCTCAAATCAACCTTTGCTGGCCTTAAATTCACTCACATCACCACTAGTTGCAGGCATTTTTCTAATTATATCTTCATGCAACTTCCTAGCCTTTTCACATATGATCGCTTGAGAGATGCTATCTGTTTTTCATTTATCCACATCAATAACAGTCTCTCAACATCTTCTATCACTTGCGATCTCTGTTTCGAAAACAAAGTTGCACCTTTGGCAAGAACAGCTTCCTTGATTGCCGTTTTCTTGGCCACAATAGTAGCGATGGTTGATTGGGGTTTACTATACAATCTGGCCAGCTCGGAGACACGCGCTCCACTTTCATACTTAGCAATGATCTCTTTCTTCATATCCATAGTAATTCTCACCCTTATTCCTGTAGGGTTGGCACTAGAAGCTTTCTTGGGGCCCATGGTCACTTATTTTGCAGGTGAAATCACTAAAAACGCTGTGATATTACGAAATGTTCCGATTGTACTGTTGGATGTGACCGCGGAGGCTGGCTTGTAAACACTGCCACCCGCGGAACAAGTGAGGCTGGCTCAGGCCACATGTTGACGAGTCTCGGACGAATCGCGTTGAGCGAGTTTTTTAGCGCTAGGCGAGGCAAAGTTTTTGCGTTAAAATGTATCGCTAGGCGGATTTAACGTTATGTGATGCCATCGTTAGGTGAGGGTCCACTGTAGTAGGTTTTGTCAGTGTTAAGTGTAAGTTTATTGGCTGTCATCCAAGTCGATATTTTGAGCAGCTCCTCGTTAACAGTGGTGTTGAGGGTGGCAAGATTAGGGTGAGAGATGACATAAGTCATGTCGTCAGCAAAGAGAACGGGTTTCATGTGTTGGGATATGTTTGGAAGATCATTGATGTAAATGAGGAAGAGCAGGGGTCCAAGGACACTTCCCTGCGGAACTCCAGTATCAGGTGGACGTGTTGATGATGCTGTGTCTTTAATGGTGACATACTGATACCTATTAGTAAGGTAGGATTTGAAATATGCAAGTGCATAGCCTCTTATACCATAATGGTCAAGTTTGTGGAGTAGGATGCCATAGTCTACTGTGTCAACAGCTTTTCTTAGGTCAATAAAAATTCCTAGCAGATATTCCTTATTTTCCAATGCTGTGTAAAACAGATCTAGCATTTTTACAATTGCATCATTAGTGCTTTTATTTTTCCTGAATCCAAACTGGCAGGGGTTGAGTATGTTTTGTGCCGTTATAAATGAATATATGTAGTCTCCTGTGCACGAGTTTCTCAAAGATTTTGGATAGCAATGGTAAGTTTCATATTGGCCTATAGTTGTTTACATCTGTAGGGTCACCACCTTTATGTATTGGTGTAACCCTTGCTGTCTTGAGTAGTTTTGGGAAGGTGTTAGTTTCTAGTGACTTGGTAAAAAGTACGTAATGAAATAGCATGCGAAAGGACATGGGCCGCTCGCTTGTACAATAATGGTGGGACATAAGACAGATTCCCTGAGTTATTTTTAAGTGACTTTATAAAAATTATGTAGAACAGGATGATAATAAACTATGCATGATTGGGGTAATTAGTGACATGGTCCTCAGACAAATAAAAAAATTAAACCTAACAAATCCCCAGGCCCTGATGAACTGATTGCAAGGGTTTTAAAGGAATGTAAAGAGGAACTTAACAGACCTTTGGCTGATCTTTTCAACATATCACTACAAACTGGCATAGTGCCAGACAAGTGAAAAATGGCAAATGCAATACCTATTTACAAAGCAGAAGACAGGTCCTTAGCTTCAAACTATAGACCAATAAGCCTTTCAATAATTGCCGAGGAAACTCGTAGCCACCTTGAAAGATATAAATTGATTAATGAATCTCAACACTGTTTTACAAAGGGGCATTCCTGCTTTACAAATTTACTAACTTTTTTCACTAAGGTATTTGAGGAGGTAGATCATGGTAATGAATATGATATTGTGTATATGGACTTCAGTAAAGCTTTTGATAGAGTTCCACATCAGAGACTATTGAGGAAACTTAAGGCACATGGAATAGGAGAAATTTTTCCCTGTTGTTGTTGACAAATAGGTAGCAGAGAGTTTGCATACATGGGAAGAAATAAGAGTGGGGGCACATCACAAGCAGTGTTTCACAGGGGTCAGTGTTGGGGCCCTTGTTGTTCACAATTTACATAAACGACATAGATGAGGGAATAAATAGTGACATAAGCAAATTTACTGATGACACCAAAATAGGCTGTCTAATTCATTCTAATGAGGACAGAGCACTCCAAGATGATTTGAATAGATTGATGCAGTGGTCGGAGAAGTGGCAGATGCAGCTTAATGTAGACAAATGCAAAGTTCTAAATGTTGGACAGGAAAATAACTGTGCCACATATAAACTAAATAATGTAGATCTTAATATTGCTGATTGCAACAAGGATTTAGGAGTTCTGGTTAGCAGTACATAATCTGAAACCAAGATACCAGTACATAAGTGTTCGCAAGAAAGCGAACAGAATCCTTGGCTTCATGTCAAGAAGTATAAATAATTAAAGTCCTCAGGTTGTTGTTCTACTCTATACAGTGGAACCCTGGTTTTCATCTTTAATCCGTTCCAGAAGGTCAGCTGGAAACCGATTTGCACGAAAACTGAAGTAATAGTTCCCATAAGAAATAATGTAAATCCAATTAATCCTTTCCAGACACCCAAAAATATTAACAAAAAATACATTTTATAGAGAATAACTATAGTTTTACATACAGAAAACAGTGAGAAATAAATATAAAGCACTAATGAAATAGATAAATGAACACTTAAATCACTTTTACCTTTATGGGAGACTCTTGTTGGCGTATGGAAGACGGTGAAGAGGGGAGAGGGAGAAGTTATCTCTACCACCATCACTACCACCCTCTACCACCATCACTACCACCATCACTACCACCATCACTACCACCCTCTACCACCATCACTACCACCATCTCTACCACCATCTCTACCACCATCTCTACCACCATCACTACCACCATCACTACCACCATCAATACCACCCACTACCACCATCACTGCCACCCTCTATGAGTAACAAAGGCAGACTGAGTAACGAACGTATGAGCGGCCGCATCCTGGGGGCAGGTGGACGCGTCTGGTATGGACGATTTCTGAGTGGATGTACGAAAATGGGGAAAATTTTGCCAAAAAAGTGGTCAGAAACTGAAGTGTACGATAACCGGACCGGACGAAAGCCGGGGTTCCACTGTGTCTTTGATTAGGCCTCATTTAGGTTATGCTGCACAGATGTGGTCACTGTATTGTAGAATGGATATACGTAAATGCACTGGAAAATGTACAGAGTCTTGTGTCATGCATTTCACAAGCTTTTACATACCATGTTGCTATCTTTATTCCTCATTTTTTTTTTCACATATTTGTGTATTTCTTAAATTTTCTTCATGATAGTTTTATTCTTGTATGAAATTTGGATTGGTGCTTACCAGTCTCTCATCTACATTATCTTTTACTAGAGAAATGAGATGTTTAACCCGTAAACGGTCCAAGCAGATCAACGTTCACATGTGTAGTGCTCCAAAAGTAGATCTACATTTTTTTTACATATTTTCAAATATAACAAAAAAAAAAGTAGATCAAAGTTTTTTTACACGTTTTCAAATGTACAAAAAAAAAAAATCTAATTTTTTTACATACTTTCAAATGTTGAAAAAACATATATATAAGTTTGGACTGTTTACGGGTTAAAACTCCACTTAATAATCTATGTTGATGTAAACTGAAAGCTTTATATTGAGCTATTTTTATGTTCACCATGATTATTTAGGAATTGCTGTACCACTTAGATTGTGCATTTTAGTAATACATACATTGTTGTTAAGCTTATTTTGTGAGTAAATATATCTTCTGTTTTTTTTTTTCAGCTGAATTCTCGAATTCAGGCAAAGAACCATTATGAAGGAAAGCAGCACAGAAAAAAAGTGAAGAATTACATAATTGAAAAGGCCCGGAAGGAGGACCAACCTCCAGAAAAAATGCCCAAAATTGATTTATCAACCCCCAAAAAGGTTTGTAATTTGTAAAGTTAGTGAGATCAAACCAACCAACCAACCAACCAACCAACCACCACCACAGCCACTGCCACTGCCACTAAGCACCATCATCAACCACCACCTTCTATGAAAGATGAGGTGAAACATAGAATTAACCCTTTCACTGTCGAGACTTCTGCTCACAAACTTGCTCTCAGTGTCGAAGAATTAAAAAAAAAACTATTTTTTTCTTATGAAATGATAGAGAATTGTGTCCTGATGGTAATGACACCAAAAGTACGAAATTTGATGGAAAACTTACAGAATTACGCTCTTGCGAAGTTAGCAGTCTCGGCGATATATACACATCAGCGATTTCGCCCACTTTGAACCCTATTTTTGACCAATTCCATTGTTCTGCTCGACCAGATTCATAGCTATTTTGCTAGAATTCCATTTGTTCTATCGACTGAGTACAAGAAACCGCCCATTTACCAATTTCAACTACCCAATAAAGTGGTCAGAAATTGGCAGTTTGGCCAATTTTGCACAAATTTCAAAATAGGGTACAGAATAAACAATGCAGACATTCCTGGCACTAAAATAACATTTTCTCTGTTCATTAGTCATGGCTTGAGGCCCCTCTTGTATTACTCTTGCTTTCCATTTTGAATTTTTATTCACATAAAAAAATAGAAGATTTACTGTTTTGCAAACTGCTGCATTATTGTAATAACTGTATAAATAATGTCACCTCATTTGTGACTGCATATGACACTGGCCAGTTGGACACGTATAGGATGGTGACATCATATGTTTGCTCTTGAACATAGGCAAAAATCGAGCATTTCCTCTAGTTTGAGCTCAATTTCAAGGTACTCTTCATCATGAAACCAATCAAAATCATCTCTATTTCTGTAATATATCTTCCATTCTATTAAATGAGACCAAGAAAACGAGGATACAACCATAAATACCATACAAAAATGCACCTCAAAGTCAGCGTTTTAATCCAAAAACACAGATTTTTTTTTTCTCATTATGCAGTGTGCTGCAGGATTTTTTTTTATACTGCACACACTGACCATGCAGACCCATTCTCTCACATGTAGGTCTACCAGCTTTCTCCTGCTAGATTTGAAGCCGCTAGAATTTTGGCGTATTAATATGTTACTGACAGTGAAAGGGTTAAGGCATCTGTTGAAACAAAGAATGTTATCCATGGAAGCAAAAGGGGAAATGTATGGGAGTACAGTGGCACCAGCACTCATATATGGGTGTGAAGCATGGGTTATGAACATTGCAGCAAGGAGGAGGCTGGAGGCAGTGGAGATGTCGGGTCTGAGGGCAGCATGTGGTGTGAATATTATGCAGAGAATTTGCAGTTGGGAGATTAGAAGTGAGGGCTACTAAAAGTATTATCCAGAGGGCTGAAGAGGAGCTGTTAAGGTGATTTAGACATGTAGAGAGGCTGAAGAAAAATAGGGTTACTTGGAGGTTGTATAAATCTGTAGTGGACGGAAGGCAGTGTTGGGGCTGTCCTAGGCAAGGTTGGAGGGAAGGCGTAAATGAGGTTTTTTTATGTGAGGGGCTTGGACATTCAACAGATATGTGTGTGTTAGATAAGACTGAGTAGAGGCAAGTGGTTTTCGTGACTTGATGTGCTGTTGGAGTGTGAGTAAGGTAACATTTGTGAAGGGATTCAGGTCAACTGATTAGGTGGATTTGAGTCCTGCAGGTGGGAATTACAGTGCCAGCACTCTGAAGGAGGGGCATCTGAACTGTTGTATTTGCATGTTTTGGCAAGACAGTGATTGAAGTTAGTGATGGTGAAAGTGTTTCTTATTTTTTTGGGTCAGCCTACCTTGGTGGGAGACAGCCAGTGTATTATTCATGCAGTCAATTTAAACCTGACCAGAAATAACCTTGAATTTAAGGTTCTCAAATCTTGCAGTCTGTGAACCCAAATGTATTTCTCTTTTCTTACCACAGCATCTTTGACACAACCGTTGGATTGAGAAGTTAAGACATGAGACGTTTAAGTGCCACTACACATGCAAAGTAATGGACAACTCATATCAGCAAGGGATCATAGCCCCAAAACTGAAGTAAGAGTTTTGGAATAAGTTTAACATTGCAGATGCAGTTTTTTTTTTTTCAACAAACTGGCAAATCTCACCAAAGCAGGGTGACCTAAAAAGAAAAATGAAAGTTTCTCTTTCTAAAATTAATAATGCATACAGGAGAAGGGGTTACTATCCCATTGCTGCCAGCATTTTAGTCATCTCTTACAACACGCATGGCTTACAGAGGAAGAATTCTGTTTCACTTCCCCATCCCATGGAAATATGAGGAAATAAACAGGAACTAGCAAGTAAATAGAAGAAAACCCAGAGGGGTGTGTATATATATGTTTGTACATGCATGTGTAGTGTGACCTAAGTGTAAGTAGAAGTAACAAGATGTACCTGGAATCTTACATGTTTATGAAACATGTAAGATGCCAGGTAACAATAACAATTACAGGCTTTCATTTTACACTCACCTGGCAGGATGGTAGTACCTCCCTGGGTGGTTGCTGTCTACTAACTAACTATGTAGGTGCAGATGCAGTTCTTTCAACAAACCGGCCGTATCCCAACGAGGCAGGGTGGCCCGAAAAGAAAAATGAAAGTCTCGCTTTTTAACTTTAGTAATGTATACAGGAAAAGGGGTTACTAGCCCCATGCTCCGGGCATGTTAGTCACCTCTTATGACATGCATGGCTTATGGAGGAAGAATTCTGTTCCACTTCTCCATGGAGATAAAAAATAAACAAGAACTAGTTAGGAAATAGAAGAAAACCCAGAGGGTGTGTGGGTGGGTGTGTGGGTGGGTGTGTGGGTGGGTGTGTGGGTGGGTGTGTGGGTGGGTGTGTGGGTGGGTGTGTGGGTGGGTGTGTGGGTGGGTGTGTGGGTGGGTGTGTGGGTGGGTGTGTGGGTGGGTGTGTGGGTGGGTGGGTGGGTGGGTGGGTGGGTGTGTGGGTGGGTGGGTGGGTGGGTGGGTGGGTGGGTGGGTGGGTGGGTGGGTGGGTGGGTGTGTGTGTGTGTGTGTGTGTGTGTGTGTGTGTGTGTGTGTGTGTGTGTGTGTGTGTGTGTGTGTGTGTGTGTGTGTGTGTGCATAAATGCTTACTATAACCCACTTTTCACATCTAGCCCTTATTTTACTCCATATACTCCATGAATTAATACATTTATATTTCCTCTTTTCTTACTGTAACTTATCCTTCAACATTATTGCTACCTAATCCCATTTATTTCTCCCCACTGAAATTCTCCCACCCCCTTCAGCTTTGTTTCACTTAAAGCCAGGACATCCAGCTTCTTCTCATTCATAACATTTACAATCATCTCTTTCTTATCATTCGCACAACATCCACACACATTCAAACATCCCACTTTGACGGTTTTCTTCTTTTTCTTTTTAGTAGGCTATACGGGAAAAGGGGTTACTAACCCATTGTTCCGGCATTTTAGTCGACTTTTACAACATGCATGGCTTATGGAGGAAAGATTTCCCATGGATATAAAAGGAAAAGCAATAAGAACAAGAACTATCAAGATAAAATCAAAGAATACTCAGATGAGTGTGTACATGCACGTGTAGTGTGACCTAAGTGTAAGTAGAAGTAGCAAGACGTACCTGAAATCTTGCATGTTTATGAGACAGAAAAAAAGACACCAGCAATCCTACCATCATGTAAAACAATTACAGGCTTTCATTTTACACTCACTTGGCAGGACAGTATTACCTCCCTGGGTGGTTGCTGTCTACCAACCTACCATGGAGTTATGTGCATAAAAGTGTCATGGGATGAAATTCCCAGTGAACCATTAATGTTTGCTGGGGTCACTTACTGTCCTTTGTGGTGAGTAACTTTTCTAGTGTTTCCTCAGTAAGGAGTCAGGTATCTATGAAATGGTAGCTCTGGCAAGGACTGAGAGGTGTGAGCACTTTGAAGATAGTGCATAAACAAGACATAAATGATCTGTTTGAAGAGGATGATAAGAAACTTAACTGCAGAATAAATGCTGAATGACCTCAAATCCCAGTTAGGAGAGGCAGATAAATGAAGAGAATAAGGCAGGACTTAAGGATAAATATTTAACACTGCAGGAGTTAGGTAAGCATTTCCATGCTGTTGGTATAGGTACAGAATTTTTCATTGAATAAGATCATGTCATGTCTAGAAACATTGGTTTAAAGAGGACTCTGGAGCATGTCATGTCTAGAAACATGGTTTAAAGAGGACTCTGGAGCAGGAAATGATGTCTTAGCAGCTGTATTGAGTATTGCAAAGTAAAATAGACCAGAAATCCATTACAGAATACATAACTTCAGTCCAGCCATCAACTACTGACAACTTTGCATCCACATGACAAAAACCATAGTCATCCACCTCAGCCCAGTAGGGCCACTTCAGCCCTCTCTACTGACTTTCATGTCAACATTGACAGATAGAATGTAAATAAAGATAAACTGCATTAATATATACCTAGTTTGGCAAATTTGGAGGACTAGAATGTAAGCCTATATTTCTCACATGTCATCATGTTACAAAGCTATATTTCATTAGGCAGTGATTTTCAGGACCATATCCCATGTTATGAGATGGTTCACTGCAAGTCTTTGAGAAACTTGTCTGCTATTCTGTTCCTGTTGGTATCATGATGATGACAGGATAATGACTGGCAGTGTGTGTGTACTCACCTATGCATACTTGTCTATATGTGGTTGCAAGGGTCAAATATTAGCTCCTGGCCCTGCCTTTCAACTTGCTTCTTGCCAGATTTACTATCTCTCCTAGCCTTGTGGGTTCTCTTAACAGTACCTGCTCTTACAACTGTGTGGAGCTTGTCTCCACCATTTCTTTGTCAAGGTCATTCCTGAGCACCCTGAGACTTAAGACAAACTTCCTGTGGTTCATCTGTGTCTTTAGCTTCCAGCTTTGTCCCAAAATACCTGTTTTCCAACTCTCAAATAGCCTATCCCTGTCT